AAAAAAAAAAAAAAAGCTTTTTCTGATTTTAATATCTGCTTTGATTCAGAAGGGATCAGAAAGATGAACTACAGACATCTCCTTTTTCATGCTCGTCCAGTGGACTGATTAAGGTAAAATTCACAAATAGAGAAGGTACAAACCGGAAATCAAAGCAGAGACAATTCTGAAGGTGGCTCTAGTGAGGAATGCAACACTCTACAGAGTGTGAAAGCCCTGGTGCACAGGGCTTGGTGGCTACATTCAAGTTTGTATACAGCACTTTCCCTGTTCTCAAACTAAAGTCAACCTAGAGGTGACAGTCTGATTTCCATCATTCTCAGGAATCCACGTGCCCTTCCTTAGAAGTTCCAGTAAGAATAGCATTATCCCAGCCAGGCATGGTGGCTCATACCTGTAATCCCAGCACTTTGGGAGGCCGAGGCAGGCAGATCACCTGCGGTTAGAAGTTTGAGAGCAGCCTGACCAACATGGCAAAACCCCATCTCTACTAAAAATACAAAAATTAGCCAGGTGTGGTGGTGCAGGCCTGTAATCCCACCTACTCAGGAGGCTGAGGTAGGAGAATTGCTTGAACCTGGGAGATGGAGGTTGCAGTAAGCCAAGATTGCACCACTGCACTCCAGCCTGGGCAACAGACCAAGACTCTCTCTCCCACCAGGGTACCTATGAAGGCCTGTCCATTTTGAAACTAAAGAATCAGTAAAAGAGACCTTAGAAGATGGCCGGGTACAGTGGCTCATAGCTGTAGTTCAAGACCAGCCTGGCCAACATGGTAAAACCCTGTCTCTACTAAAAACACAAAAATTAGCCAGGTGCAGTGGCGGGTACCTATAATCCCAGCTACTTGGAAGGCTGAGGCAGGAGAATTGCTTGAACGCAGGAGGCGGAGGTTGCAGTGAGCCAAGACAGGGCCATTGCACTCCAGCCTGGGCAACGAGAGTGAAACTCCACCTCAAAAAAAAAAAAAAAAAAAAAAAGAAAGAAAGAAAGAAAAGAAAAAAGAGATCTCAGAAGATGAAGCAGCTTTGTTTTAAAAGCAGGTGCTTTTCTGTGTTATGACTAACCTTATAAGCAACTCAGCCACCTCGATTATGACTTTAGAATTATTTTAACAGAAAAATCTGCTCCATTGGGAAGTTGTGCTGAGAAGGAATGTACCATCCATCTGCCTCCCCAAAGGTGTTGTGGTTTATTGTTCTTTAATATGCTGTTCTTCTTGCCTTGTTGCAGCAATGGCCCCTTTTACCTTGGAAAACTTAAAAAGCTGCAGATGATTTCTGTGAGGTGTTCTCTCCAAAAGGAAGAAAGGGGAGCAGCGCGGGCTGAGTGCACTTCGGTTCCAGCCACTGTGCTAGTTGCTAACAGACATTCCTGTGGGGCCTTCCCATAATCTCAACGTAGAAAAGATGCTGCCCAGTTTCACAGCTGAGGAAACCCATGCCCAGAGAGGTTAAATGACTGAACCGCTGGCTCATGGCTCAAAAGTAAAAAAGCTAAAATTAAATCTAGACCCAGTGAACGCCAAAGCCTTGTCATGTGATGCTTCCTGGCCATTGCCTACTTGGGAGCAAAAAAATGAGAAATAGCAGCCTTCATTTTATGAACTGAACTTTTCTTCTAAGTGATCCAAAGGATGATCCAGACCTCAAATTAATCCTTAAAGTTCAGTAAGGAGTTTAACAGGCAAGATGATTCCTCTTTGGGAAGTACAGAGAGAATTCTGCATGGGACTGCTTACAGCATCGAGAGATTTTGCAGCCAGACCCTGGTATCATCAGCCAGCTTTCAGCAGTTTTGCAAGACTGTCTCTAGGTGGTGCAATGACCATGTGATTCTGTTTACTGAGGCCTGTCTATTTCTGGCTGGCTGGGTATTCAAGAGTGAAAATATCTGCTTGTCAAAGTTGTTGGATCATTTTCAGCTTTCAAAATCATTATTAAATAGTCTTTCCGACTTCCCAACTTTCCGATGCAAGACTGTGGCCTGCGAGAAGTTTCAGGAGAAGAACTAAAATCAAAAACGAAAAAAGAACCATGGAAAAATAAAGAAAACCCACACTCTCTTATGATTCTTCCCTGTTCAGGGTCTTTGCTTTTTGTAGGATGAGTTTTCAAGTTATCATAAGTGCTAAAGGCCTTAAAACCACCTCCAATTAACTTTCAATTTAAAAAACACAAACCTATCATTCTGTATTCATGAAGCAGAACACTAAGCAGACAGGGAAAACAAAGACAGAAATACACCTAAGACAAAACTGTTCAAGGAATTAACAAGAATGTTAAGATGAATGGAGCTACATTGAGAAAATTTACTCAGATTCGGCTCATGGAATACACTGGTCATTTCACGTAAGAACAGAGCCTGAAAATAAAAAGGAGATGCTTCATAGCACACACCCCCATTCCAGATGCCCTCACAGAGACCCAGACTCTATACTAATCCTATTTCCACCATGTGGTCATTCCCCAATTTCCCTCTCTCCTCAGTCCCTCCATCCTGTGCATTCTGGGAGCCAACTGCCCCCAAGGAAAACCACTACAGGGACAGAGACACATGCATCCTGGAGGCAGCACATGGGAAGAATTCAGGTTTTGGATTTTATACATAGCTCAGAAGAAATCCAGGCACTGGCAGGAGGTGGAAGATGAAATTGCAGTCACAGGAGCACCCTAGAACCAGGCTCTCCCTCAGGAGAGGAATCAATTAAGAGTATTTTCAAAATGTACATCCGCTGATTCTTCCTTGGTAATTTTGATATGACTTGAGGGTAAGAGAGATTGGGTGATTTTGCAAAGCTTCCCAAGTGACCTGGATAGATCTTGCTTACCACATAAAAGTAAAATTTGGAAGGAATTGAGGGTGAGGTAGAAAAGGAGTCCCATCCACCTTTCTGGACCATCCCTCTGGCAAAGGGGCCCTGCCAGCAAGGCCACTGCCACCCTGGAGCTTCAGTCCTCAACACCCAATTACAAGAAACTCACCTCCTCCACCAGCCATGACACTTTTTGCTAAAATTTTTAAAAATTGATTCAACCAAAAGATAAAATGGAATTCCAAGGTCAAAATATAAAATACTATATAAAAATAATTTCAGAATACCTCTATAAGGCAAACTGCAAAGCTGAATATTCAACAAGTATTCTTATTTAAAATGTCATATTAAAACTAACACTATAACTGGGTAAAGAAAATGTGGCACATATACATCATGGAACACTATGCAGCCATAAAAAAGGATGAGTTCATGTCCTTTGCAGGCACATGGATAAAGCTGGAAACCATCTTCTCAGCAAGCTGACACAAGAACAGAAAAGCAAACATCGCATGTTTTCACTCATAAGTGGGTGCTGTGCAATGACAACACGGGGACACAGGGAGGGGAACATCATATACCGGGCCTGTTTAGGGGTGGGGGGCTAGGAGAGGTACAGCAGGAGGTAGGGAGATAGGGGAGGGGTAGCATTAGGAGAAATATCTAATGTAGATGATGGGGTGATGGATGCAGCAAACCACCAAGGCACGTGTATACCTATGTAACAATCCTGCACGATCTGCACATGTATCTCATTACTTAAAGTATAATTATAATAATTGTTCTAAAAACTAACACTACATAAACAATAACTTATCAGATTAGTTTTTCAGGTTTTTAGCGTTTTTTTAGCTTAAGAAACACTACTGGAGAGGGTTAAAAAAAGGATCAGTCTGACCCACTGATGGTTAAAATGGTCATTACTTTGTGTGGAAAGCAACTTGACAGTATCAAAAGCCTTGAAAATATGTCTCATACAAAGTGTAGTTCCACATATGTATCCTAATAATGTGATCATGGGTGTGCATACGTTCTGGGCTGCAAGATATTAATTATAAATTTATGGGTAATTTCAAAGCAGTGAAGCATTTAGCAAAAGGGCTCATCAGTTAAATAAACTATATTACATCCAAATAATGAAAAACAAATCAGTAATGAAACAGTACGTGTTAAGTAATATAAAAACATTTTCAAAGAATATTCCCATGAAAGACAAGGCTTCTCCAATAACACATAAAGCATGATACCATTTGTCAAAATATGTATAAATATTAATATTAGTAGAGATATACAGATATATATACTGTGTATATATATCTTTGGGTGTGTCTGTGTGTATATGTATACACACAAATATATATACACACACGTATATGTCTATATGTATACACACACACACACACACATATGGCATATATTTTTTTTTCAAGGAAAGAGTATTTGAAATTATAAAATAATGCGTGGTAATTTCTAATCACCGAAGCCAAGATCTCAGACATGCTATTTATGATGGAGATTAAAATGGAAATCCAAAGTTATACCTGCAGAATTTGATATTAGCTGAAGGTCACTCAGAGACTTCATGGGGATAAAATCAAGAATATAATCCAAGTAGAAATAAAAATAATGGCTTATATTCGGGACAAGTTGTGTTCTAAGTTGCAAACTGCAAACAAAAATCTAGCAGACAACCTATTTGCATTCAGAGCAAGAGAGACCTTTTAAGAAAGCATAAATTGTGTTAATCTCATCATGACTAAATTTCAGGAAACTTTCAATTTGACTTTGATATCAAATTGATCTTTGTAAGTAATCCACTCACTAAAATAATAAGATCCATCCCACAGCTGCCATCATTCATTTAAGTCAAACACAAATCTTAAGCATCTTGTGAAGTAGATTTCATGAAGTCGAGATGCATTCTGGGCTAACTACTCTTGGTTACACTTAATCAGAACTGAATAAACAAACTCAGTATTAGTCACACTTGTGCAAGTTATTCCATTTCACTGAAGCCAGAAGAGATTTTCATGTGATCCTGTTTAAACCAACTAAACATCTGGAAATGTGGAAACTATTCTGTAAAGCACAAGAGGACCACACGCTCTGAAGAGACATCAGTTATGTGGCTGAGGTCAGGTCTGGGGAGGCTATAGGGAGAGCATACTAGAGATGGCTTACTTACAATGAAGCCAAGTTTCTTATAATCTCGCGTGTACATGGACTTTCGTTTCTCCATACTGCCACTGCTGTTATTAGGTTCTGACTCGGCATCAAAAGCAATTCTTCGAAGTTCAAATATGATGTCTCTCTGAGCCTGAAGGAATCAGGGAGTAAAAAGAAAAGGGAGGGGAAAAAGCTGCTTTAATTGTGTGACATTACTTATACTCCCTCTTTCCCTGGGGTCTAAATGAATCACTGCATTCAGGCAAAAGAAAAACAGATAAAAGAGAACCAATGTCCTAAGTTAGGGCTTTGCAGACCGCTCTTCCCCCATCAGTCTCTCTGCTGGTCAGGCCTGGCTGTATTCCACAGGGGTCCTCTTAGCCAAGTAGTCATCTGGAGCATGAATATTGATAGTCCAGTGCAGTCTTAACTGAGAGGCCTAGATATGATGGAAGGGTCGTGACTGGAGAAAGCTAAGCTAGGGAAACTGGGGATACCCAAAATGCCTCACCCCACTAAGTACATTCATGGAAACAAACAGGACAAAAATGAAAGAAAGGGTCAAAGGTACAAACCACCCAAGTGTCCATCCAACAGTAAATGGATGAACAAAATGTGGTGTGGACATACAATAGCGCATTATTCAGCCTTTGAAAGATGGCAATCCCAACAGATGCTACAACGTGGATGAGCTTTGAAGATTACTATGCTGAGAGAAATAAACCAGACACAGAAATATATATATTGTCCAATTCCAATTATATGAGGTCCCTGGAGTAGTCAAATTCATAGACAGAAAGTAGAATGGTGGTTACCAGGGGCTAGGAGGATGGAATGGGGAGTTAGTGTTTTACAGGTACAGAGTTTCAGTTCTCCAAGATGAAAATAGTTCTGGAGATGGATGGTGATGACAGTTTCATAACAATGTGAATGTACTTAATGCCACTAAACTGTACACTTAAGAATGGTTATAATAGTAAACTTTATATTACATATATTCCACCACAATAAAATAAACATATAAATAAAATTTTAAAAGGGTTTCCAAACAAAGAGGGTCATTCAATATTAAGATGCATTGCTCTCTGTCACTAGAAGTAGTAAGATGACAGTCTCTTCTCTCTGGGATGACTATACCTTGCCAAAAACATGGGGTACATTCACAGCCTCTCAAGCCTCTCCATCATTCTTAACCGCATGGCCTTGCTCCATGAATGAAGTGCTGCGGCAGCTACACACTTCACATATGCGGTTCACATCTGCAACAGATCAGGCCCTCACGTGCCAATAATGAGTGTTTTCCTTTCCAAAGCTGCAGCGCTGTTTAAGTTGAAAATGTGCTACGGCAGGATTCCCAGCTGTTTCCTCTCACTCTACCCTCACACAGCAAAGGTCCCCAAAGCCTTCTGAATGGAGACATAACCTTTCATGCACAACAAGAGACCTAGTAGAGAGTTACAGCCAATAGCTAACCGACAGAAAGCTGGCCCAGAAATCAGGTTTAATCTGGGACCCTGCTCTTGACACTGATCTCTGGTGAATGAAAATTTCTGCCTCAACCCTGCAGAATCAATGCCACATAGAGTCACCAAGAGGCCCTAGTTGTCTGGGAACCTGACTCCTAAGCTATTACCATTAAAGGTATTTGGAGCCAAGGGCTAAGGTCTGTGGTCACGTGACATCAAGCTTTCTTATTCAATAAAGGCAGACCATGCATATTTGGAGCCTAATGGAAGAACCCATTTGGTTTATTTTCTGATCCTAGATTCACCTAATTTTGAAGCCAAGTCCCTACGTTCTGAGATGATAATAAAACGACATCATCTCAAATTCAGAAACTCCCCAGTTCGGGGTACCTCAGGAAAAGACCTTTAATGAAACTCTCTCTCCTTCCTGTTCTTTGACCGCTGTCCCATGCACACTCACTTGGTCCTGGGGATCCATTTTGGTCATCATCCTGTCTTCCAGCAGGTTGAAGGTGAGCACTTGCAGAACATATAGCTGGTGCGCCATCTCATTGTTAATAGCTCGCTGGGCTCGGATGACATGCTAGGGAGATGGTTCACAAATAAAATGTTTAATAAAAGAAAGAAAAGGAAACAAGAAGAATTAACCCTCAAGCTGACTCTCACAGTCTTCCTTGGGAGGTACAGGAATGGAGAAGGCACGTGAGGCTACAGGGAATTTCAGAGCTTTCCTTTACATTCCAGAAGCCAGTAAGGTTCCTGATCTTCAGGTCATACTCCAGGAAAAAAAATTACTGTGGGCAGGAGGGAGTAGAAGGGGAAAAGTGCTGGAAAAGGACTGGTGATGGCAGCCATATAAGTCAAGTGAAGATATGCTTGAAATGAGGGTGCCTGCAAAACAACTGTGGGCTTTCTACAACAGAAGCATCTGTCACATGCAGCAGAAAAACCAATGGTGCATACCCATAGTAAGCAATCTTGCCATTATCTTACCCTGGGACTGTCTCTGACAGGTGAGCCCACTTCAAACTGGGGAAAAGTTTTAGAAGGAGCATACAAAAGCAAAATACCCATCAAATCTTAATCTACCATGGGAGCTACACAAGGACGTCTACCATCAAAGGCAGTGAGCAAATGCTTGTGAATTACTTTACTCACTGTTAACAATTAAATGAAAGATAAAATAATTCTTCCCCATAGAAACAGAACTGAAAACAGAACAAACGTACAAGAAGTGGCAGGACAGGAAGACTGGATAGGTCCACTCTCAACCCCCTCACTCCTGCCCAGAAATGGGACAGCTGCCACCAACTCAAGATTCAGCATTTGGGACTAACACACAGCCTTTTCAACAGAGATTCCGGCTGTACATTAAAAATGCCAAACAATGGGTCAATGTGGTGAAACACCCTTCCAATCGGTTATTTTGGGTGTACTAGCCCCAGTCACGCCTTGCTAAATGAAAGACCATTTCTCTTGGCAATCCGTAGTTGCTCCTGTGTAGACTACTGTAAACCAGCTTTTAAATGGCCATTCAGTAAATGACAGAGCTGTCCAGTGTAGAGAAAAATGATCTTCCTCCAGGACTGGAGGAAGTCTAGTTCCTTACAGTGCTGCCTGGGTGCCTCCCAAACTGGCATGCACCTGCAATCCACAGCCTGGATGTAAGCACCATGCTGAAATAGCCAATTAAAGAAGGAAGGGTGGGAGAAGACTGAGGAATAGAAGAACAAGGACAAGGAGGAATAAGGGAATACAAAGTCACTGAACCAAAATTAGGAAAAGCAGGGAAGCCAGACAATGGGATGGTCAGGAGCGAATCAAACCCCGTATCTTTCAATCTTCAAAACAGCATGTTAACTCATAGCACATGCTTAGTATCCAAAGTGTATGGGTATCTATTTTCTCAGTAACTCGAAAGTACTAAACTCCAATTTCCTGCAGGAGAGTACCAACCTCGAACTTCAGCCATCAACATCTCATAAAAGAATTCCCATTTAGGCAAGCTGATTTTTGAGACAGGGTGGCTATAGTCATTAATGCCACTCATTTCAGGGCATTCTAACCCTGACTGCCACATCAAGGTAACATGAAGACACTGAGCTACACGCCGATACTCTGGCTTCTACATTTATTGAGAGCCAATATAAAAGACAGTATTATGAATACTGCCCTTAATCGGGCCTAGAATCTACTAAGACACTCCCTAAGATTCATAATTGGACCTAGAATCTACTAAGACCACTAATTGGACCTAGAATCTACTAATCAAAACCATAATTGGACCTAGAATCTACTAAGACACTCCCCCAAGATTCATTTCAGATCTCAGTTCCAGAGGGAAAAGGTTTATCTTTCCCAAAGAACTGGGGGACCTCTTTTTATCAAACAATGAAAATTAAACTCATATGTTTCTTGTCATCCTTGACAGCCAGAAAGATTAAAATTGAACTAACTTCATCACAAATTGCAGTCATTACCACTGACTTTGGGTTCTAGAACATTTACTTTCATCATTAACTTTTGATGGCTTACTTGCATTGGTGGGGGTGGGAGGAGGAATAGTGCGTGTGTGCGTGCCTCTGTGTGTGTGTGTGTGTGCGTGTGTGTGTGACTTTGGGTTCTAGAATATTTACTTTCATCATTAACTTTTGATGGCTTACTTGCATTGGTGGGGGAGGAGGAATAGGGTGTGCGTGCGTGTGTGCGTGTGTGTGTGTGACGTTGGGTTCTAGAACATTTACTTTCATCATTAACTTTTGATGGCTTACTTGCATTGGTCAGGGAGGGAGGAGGAAGTGTGTGTGTGTGTGTGTGTGTGTGTGTGTGTGTGTGTGTGTGTGTGTGTTAGCTGTTTGTTTCCAGTGTTTTGACATCTGGGACCCTGCTGACCCCGGAGAGATTGCCCCTCTGAGGTCTAGCCAATTCCTAGAGATAATAAATGACTCTTTTCATATGCAAACGAGCCAGTCCAGGGCCTTGGCACCCACTCCCCACTCCTCTACAAGCTCTGGCTCATACTCTTGGGAACACTATTCTCCTGTCCTAACCACCCAGGGCCAACTACCAGACAAATAGAGACAGCCCATAAGAGCCCACTGAAATTATTCAAACTAGCCAATCCTAAACCTGCTCAGCCAGCTTACCTGGCCTCACCTCTGGGGAACTATAATGAACAAACTTTTCTTTTAATGCCAGCCATCTCCTGATCTGTTGGCCTCATCATACCTGAATGATAATAAAACCTGCATTTGAGAACCAAGTGTTTTTAATCGTAAGCTTGCTGACCTGCTCTTTGGAATCACACAAATAGAAATTTTTCTTTTTCTTTCTTAATTCTTCTTTTCCTTTTTTTCCCCCTTTTTTTGTAATCAGGGCAATCAATCAACCTGCTTCTTTCAAGTAGCTGGCAAGTCAATTATCTAGTAAGGACTCAGGAAATCTTGTTATTTGGTTTATTTCTAAACATTTGCAAGGTGACACTTAGGGCTTTTTTTCCACCAAGGTTTAAGGGCATTTTGCATTGCAGTGAATGAGTGGCTCCCATCTATACTTTCCTTCCTCTGTCTTGCAAGGGGCCCCCAAAACTGATGATCAACATTGCAGGACTTCTCTTGGTACCTGATATGTTTACAGCTAGTTTCCTCACTAAAAGAGCAAAAGCTCATCAGGGTGAATTTTTTAAGCCCTGATTTCCCTAACCTGCCCCACTGAGAGAGCTATCCAACCCTTCCTGCCAGAATGCATTCCCCCTTCCTCTCTTCTCCAGAGCTGTTCCAGAAACTCCTCCCTCCAACCCAATGAGGCAATTCCTGTGGGAAAGCCATATTTATTCCAATTCCAAAAACTCACTTTTTCCTTCTTTAGAGTTCCTACTGCTTCACCACAGAAGCAAGTCAGAGAACAAACCACAGATTGAAGCCAAAAGAAGAAATTAATATATGCACCAGGCCACTCCTCCCCGTCAAAGAGGTCACAGCACATAGGTACTCACTGTTAAAATGATGGAACGCAGTTGCTTCTGAGCCAAAATATTCGCCATCTCCTGTGGAAGAAAAACACACCCACACAAGGGCTTAGGTTAGAAAGATGCATTTCAACGTGGCCAAAAATGACTTTATCCTGGGGTGTGCTTCGTAACTGTATATCAGCAGTATTTCTTATGAAATAATGAACTCAAACAAGCAGTGGTATTCAAATTATTTTCTTGACTGTTCCATTTGAAATGTAAAAGCCATGTCCAAAAGCAAAGGAAAGAAATCTGGCAATTGCAAACTTCTTTTCTTTAGGAATCTCTTCCTTCCAGAAAAAGGTGGGTGCTAAAAAAAATCAGGCACTCCAAATAAGGCAACAATTCTCTAGTAGAAAGCCTCATCATCTTTTATTAGACTATAAATGTACAGAAAGGTTTTTTTTTTTTTCCCCAGATGGAGTCTCACTCTGTTGCCCAGGCTGGAGTCCAGTGGTATGATCTTGGCTCACTGCAACCTCCGCCTCCCGAGTTCAAGAGATTCTCCTGCCTCAGCCTCCAGAGTAGCTGGGACGACAGGCGTGCACCACCACACCCGGCTAATTTTTGTATTTTTAGTAGAGACGGGGTTTCACTGTGTTAGCCAGGATGGTCTCGATCTCCTGACCTTGTGATCCACCTGTCTCAGCCTCCCAAAGTGCTGGGATTACAGGCGTGAGCCACATGCCCGGCCTAGAAAGTGTTTATTAGGCAACACATGCCTGTAGCAAGGAGACTCCAGTATCTTCTAAAAGTCATTTCATTTAAATCTGTGCAAAACCAAAGAGTAAGTAATACATATACATGCTCCACAAGTGATCTGAGTGGAATTTAAGTGAAGGGCAAATATCTGGGTGATGCAAAGCTCTAGAGCCTACATTCACTGAGCTCTGCAAGGCCTCATTTCTGCAGCTTGTGCTTTGTGCTTTGGCATCTCCTGATTGGCATGGAGAATTCAAGGGTGATTTTATTAAAGAAAATGATGCACAGACTCCCTTTTTAAATATTGACAAGTGGAGACTAAGGGAAAATAAAATATCAAGGACAGTCTTTGTGCACGCATTGTAAAGTAAAAATACTGCTCATATTCAGGAAGAAACTTGAATGCTGTTTTGTGGGAGGGGGTGTCTTTGGTGTTGCTACTCTTACTGAGTAGAGAAGAAACTAAGCTACGGTTTAAAAACAGAACCATGATTTCTACCAAGGTTAAAACAAACTTGCAGAAAGCAAAGAGAACCAAGAACATGGGGGTGGGGGAGAATTCTGAGGTGGGCATACAAGCAGGGGTGGACGGGAGCAGCACAGGAGAGCGGGGCCCACTTTACGCTGACAAAGAGAACATGGGTGACTTACAGTCAGAGGACAATCAAGGATGTCAACATTGCTCTCTACATCAACCTAACGGCGTCATCGCCACCACAGAAAGGAAAGCAAGCAGGAGAGAAGAAGGGATGGAAATTCAGAGGACTCTGTTAGACATTGACCACTTTATTTGAACGCCCCTGCTGACCCACTGCATTGAAACGTGCTTAAATACCGTAAGGTGACTCAAAAAAAGCTAGATGGCACTCAAGTCAAAATCCAATACTAGGTTTTCTTCCACACTCTTGAAAACAAGAAAGCAGGAGCAATGACGCATTGAGAGACAAATTCAATGGTAACCCAGAAGGAACCTTCCCTTCCACTAGGCACAGAAAGCCGTGCTTTCTTCCTGATCTTAATAGAAAGGCCCACTGGTGATGGTTTTGTGTTTCTCCTAGACCAGATGACAAATAAAAGCCTCAAAGGGTCCTACAGCTGTTTTAATTTCTTTCATTTAAAAACATTAAATGATTGCACACAAAAACAGAAAAAAATATTATCTGTTCCTATGTTTTCCTGCCAGTTTATAAGATTAAAAGTTAGAAGGGACAATGTATGTCCAACTTCTACTACAGCAATCACTTTAATTATCTGTTTGTAATATTTATTTATTTTTATTTTTATTTATTTATTTTTTTTTTTGAGACGGAGTTTCACTCATGTTACCCAGGCTGGAGTGCAATGGCGAGATCTCGGCTCACCGCGACCTCCGCCTCCTGGGTTCAGGCAATTCTCCTGCCTCAGCCTCCTGAGTA